CTCTCTCTTTCTCTCTCTTTCTCTCTCTCTCCCTTTCTTTCTCCCTCTCTCTCTCTATCTCTCTCTCTTTTCTCTCTCTATCTCTCTCTCTCTCTTTCTCTCTCTCATTCTCACACGCTATTTCTTCAGTCTCACAGTCTGCATACACATGCATATATATAATTATATCGCAGTACATCATTATGGCAGGTATGCTTTGGTGAATAAAAAATGCTTCACCTGATTTTTGAAAGTGGAAATTGTTGGGGCAGATCTTATTTTATATGTGAGTTCGTTCCATACCTGGGGACCAAAAAACAAAAAGGAACGCTCGCCGTATCTTTTGTAATTTTGTTTTTGGAGTTTTAAGAATTAGATTATCAGAGGCTCATCTAAGGGCTCTAGGTGGATGATATAATTCCAGGAATGTTATAAGATAAAAGGGTGCACTATCATTTATTCATTTAAAACAGAGAACGGCAGTTTTGTATTTGATCCTTTCTTTTATTGGCAGCATTAATTCCTTCAAATCTGAAAAATATGTTTAATTTGTCCAGCGCGCTCATATGACCTTATGCAGTTGCGAGCGCTGTAAAATACTTACAGACTTCAGACTTCCATCTGCTTGGACCAATGCAGCGATATCATCTAGCCAGGGAGAAAATCTCTGATGACACAAACCTCGTGAGGCACGTCATAGCCTGGCTTCGGTCGCTTGACGCAAAATTCTACAGGGATGTCCTACATTTACTCATGCAGCGATGGGAAATATACTTGACTGTTGAAGGGGACTATGTTGAGAAATAGAGGAAATATTTAATTGACTCTGTTTGTAAGTTGTATTTCAATCATGACCAAACGTTTAATTTTATAGCCATTTTCTTGTAAACTCTGAGACATCCCTCGTAATAGAATACGTTACACACCACTGACTACCAGAAATGATTTTTAAATTAAACAATAACAACAGCAACAACAAGAAAAACAACAACAACAACAGCAGCAACAACAACAACAACAACAAACAATATTACTTTTTCCGATCCAGTGGCCATTTGTCTTCTTGCCCTTCGGCCTGAAATATTATTTTAAAAACCGAAACAAACAAACAAAACCTTTTAAAAATACCCCATTAATTCTCTACATCCATGAGACCAGTTCATGTGGCACAGTTTTTGGATCCCCTGAACTATTTCCTCACCAATGTTGTGATCTGACTGGTGAGAGTGGTGGGTGGGGGTTGGGGGTGGGGGTTGGGTAAAGTGGTCAGACTTGTAACATCTCATCTCTAAAGGTACTTTCATTCAGGTCTTTCAACATCGCCTGAAGTCGCGGGTGGAGTTTTTCAGGAAGAATGACTCTTCCAGTCCCTGTCCAATTGCCGAGTTATGTCTCTTGTATTTGGCACCAACAGACTCGCCGAGACAATACGCCACGCACCTTACTATAAAATTACAAAGTTCTATCTGACATTTTAAGGCGTTTCGAGTTACTAAGACCGTCTTCTCAACCGGGGGGCGTCATTTGTCCGGGCTTAGGATGAGGTTTGGAAATAAAAAAGTGTGTTGGGGGGGGGGGGGGTATCACGGGGTCCTCATACAAGGATACTCGCAACCAACCGTTATAAGAAAACTGTTTTAAAGAAAACAAACAGCTAAAAAACCCACACCCAAACAGCAACAACAAAACCCAGCAACGACAACAAAATAAAAAACACAACAAAACAACGACAAAACAACAACAACAACAACCACTAAAACCTAGCAACATCAAAAAACAAAAATACCCGCAACAAAACAGAAGCAACAACAACAACAACAGCAACAACAACAACAAAAATCACCACCACCACCACCATCACCATCAACAACAACAAGAACAGCAATAATAAAAACCACCACCACCC